ATAAAAGAATCTTCATTCCCACCAGTGACAAAGAAGAAACTTTTCAGATCAGACTCATCACTACTGAGGCTCTATGGATTACTGAAAATTCACACCACTGAGACCGATGTCAAGTGCCATAGGATCACCAAACTACAACCTCTACAAGCATTCGTCGGATATGCTGCAGAAATATGTTGGGAAGACTAAGACGTACGTCCGAGACTCAACTGACTTCATCGAATATTTGAAAGGCATCACCTTGGAGACAAGTTAGCTTCGATATTGTATCCTTATTCATAAATGTACTACTCGAAAAATCTCCCAGCTTCATAGAGGAGGTCTTTCCACGAGATATCAACTTATTTCGACATTCACTAACGACATCTTATTTTCAATAGAATGAAACCTTTCATGAACAAGTTGATGGAGTCGCCATGGGCAGTCCATTTATCCCATTAAAACTTCAGAAAAACGACCGAAGTACTGGTTGAGATATGTAGGTGACACGTTCGTTGTTTGGAGCCATGGAAAAAAAGAACTTCAGAACTTCCTAAATCATCTGAATAGCTTTCATCCAAATATCCAGTTCACCAAAGAATTAGAAAAAAAATCTCCAAATTCCATTCCTTGGTGTTTTAGTCATCAAGGAAGGTGATTTACTAGGCTATAAAAACGATACCTATATAATGAATCCAACCATCATCCGAAACTGAAACGAACCGTCATCAATACCCTAGTGAACAGAATTTTGAGAATATGTGATGAAAGGTACGTCGACGATGAAATAAAACATCTAACAGCTGTGCTACAAGCGAGCGGCCACAACAAAAAAGACATAATCCGCTCTACGCGTCCAAGGAAGAAGAAGAGAAAAACCAGTGAACATCAACCCCAAGGCACTGTCTATCTGCCATACATAGAAAGTGTCACCAATCGATTCGGGAAAATTTCAAAAAAAGAGAAAATGAACACCGTCTTTAAACCAAAGATCTAGCACACAGCAATGGAAGGCACCAAAACGAAGCCGTCACCCAAATCCCATGGGAAGTAGGCGAGAACCCGCCATGAAAGAAAGTGCGCGAAAAATCAGCACTGTAAATGATATGGCAGAAGTGAGAGCTTCAGTTTCAGTTGATACGTCAAAAGGAGTACTTCGACCACGCCACTGAAGATGATTGCCGCAGTTGCAGTTGAAACGTTTGGATCTGTGGCTATATTTTCACTGTTCAACCTTAATAAAATGGAAAGTTAATAACAACGCTAAAAGCAAATGAGTCACACAACATATATTTTCAACTTTCACATTATTTGAGACCTCAATGAAATTAGGGAATCAACATTTTCATAGATAGCCAGGCGAGTGACATCGAGAATGGTTTGGGAATGCCAATAAGACTGGAGGAAACTGAAGGACAGGAATAAATTGACTATATACTGGGTGCCGGGACACTCAGGTATCGCAAACAACGAAAGAGCTAATTAGTGAATCAGACGCAGATCCCTGAACCAGTTGTGGGGTACCGAAGTCTTTGCTACGGAACTAGATCGAAAAGTGGGTCTATGAGGAACATAGAGAATACTGGGAAAATACACCCCTGAACATACAAGGGAAAACCTCTATAAAATTACCGTTCGAGAAAAGAAGTGAATAACTGCTTGAGCAAAACAGGGATTGGCTCGCTGGAGACTGTCCATTGAGAGGACTTCTGAACAGAATAGGGCTGTACAAAGTTTCAAATAAAAAACTACTCGCTGAAAATCAGTCTGGCTTTAGGAGCGGATACAGTTGTTCGTCGGCCTTGAGTGTTGTTACTAATGATATAGTAAAGACGCTAGACGACAACAAAATGTGCGTTCTCATTATCAAAGTGTGATGTATCAAAGGAACGGGATTATTCCCGGGGCTTTTGATATTATTCATTATACATTACTTTGGATTCAGCAGGACTTCAGTGGAACTCCTCAAATCGTATTTAACATATCGTCAACAACGTATGATGATTGATGATGAAATTTCAGATAGTATAACCATTCAACGAGGGGTACCACAAGGTAACATTCTTGGTCCTCTTTTATATACATTCTATACTTCAAACTTTCATCATCATTTTTCCCATTGTGATTATCATTTATATGCCGATGATACTCATGTGTATTTTTCTTTCAATATGGATGAAATTAAAAAAAGCTAATGTTATAATTAATCGTAACATTATCGGAAAAACATTTTCTGAAAATCAATTCTTCGAAAACTTGCGCCATTTTATTCGAAAATGAAATTCAAGAAATAGAAGCTACGAATAGACGAATCTGTATCAATGATGATGTTATCAATTTCAGCGATCACGTGGAAAATCTTGGTTTACATCTAGACTCTAAATTGACAAACATGTCACTTCTAACCTGAAAACGGCATATGCAGCTCTGAAATTGTTTTATTCCTATCGAAATGAAATGAATTTAAAAACAAAAAAATGTTATACGACTCGAAGGTTTCATCACATTTCAACCATTGTGACATAGTTTATGGTCCTTTTCTTCTGAAATCTGATGCCTTTCATATCCAAAGGGTACAATATTCATGTCTACGTCTAATTGTCAGTATTTAAGGAAGAGATAGGATTTCACATAAGCTTAAGGAAATGGGTTGGTTAAGAATGTCCAATCGTCGTTTACTACGTTCAAGTTGTTTTTTTATAAAATCCTAAAAATTAATACAGCTGAATATTTGTGCAGGAGAGTCACATACAGGACAGATGTTCATAATCTCAATTTGAGGAGAAAAAAAATCTTATTGATATTCTAATGCATGAAAGAGAAATATTTAAACCCCCCTTCCCTAATCAAATTGCTATAACTGCCTCTTTAATGCATTTTGCGTTGTCTTTGAATTTATTCAAAAAAATTGTTGACTCATCAGTGATATAATCTAGTAAGGGTAGTTACCTTATTATAAATAGGTAGAATTCTCATTAATAATTTATTATTTATGATATTTTGAGGGGAGTGTGGAAGAATTGGTCAACTGTCCTAACGCTACTCCTTTTGTTTTGCTGTCTTCTTTATGTTGAGTTTTACAGTTCTGTAATTATTTTGCCGGCAAACAATAAGAAATTTCAATAAATTGATGGATGTAGCCGTTACTACGTGGTAGGAAATCATAATGAAGAAAAGAGAATTGAAACTTTTTATGATTTTTACCACTTTTATTTGTAACTTACGTTACTGCAGTTTTGTCCTATAAGGAGAATTTCAAACTTATACATTAAACTAACAATGATACATTAAATGTATGAGTTTGAAAATGCCCTTATACGTTTCAATTTCCTTTCGATTTATTATTATTATCAGTATGCAAACCTTGACTGCAGACAATGCAATAAAGGTACAGAGGCTCCTCGTCATATTTTATGCGAGTATGTGAAAGTAGATCACAGACAAACAATTTATGGACAATTCAAATTATGTCCAAAAAAATATGAAATAAATCTAGCAAGATACCTGTACAAACTGGTACAAGGTACAAGATTGTTGGAGTGGGTGTCATAAAAAAGATAGGAGATCAACGCCATAAGACCATGAAGCTGCAGTGTTTTTCGAAGACATGGAAAAAATGGATGAGTCAGATGGCTCTCCCGAGTAGGAGAAAAAATCTCTCAGATTCCTAGTATGGTGAAATATCAAAGTATTAAGGGACTATACGATTATTATATATGCTGAATATTTTTTTCAAATCCAATTTATAGGAAAAAACTTGAGGTGAATATACAACAATATAAATATGTCGTCAAAACACAATATCATTAAAACACTGATTGAAAGTATATACCGCATTATGGAACGGTAATGATTTCAAACTGATTAAAATAATGCTGTGATAATTAGTAATAACCATAGATGAAAGTGGAAGGAAAATGCCGCGAAATTGGAATTATGTGGTGGAATTATTGGACCACCAGACCTCCATTTTTATTGAACCATTTTGGGGAATGATACCCCCCGTTTATGAGGTTTGGAGATTATAATATAATTTTGAGGTCAATACTTGTCTTCACATACAAACTCGATATGTTTTTAGACTTCTGCAAAAAAAGTTTTGCGAACGTTTTCGATGGCTCATTCTGTGTGTGTCATATGTGCAAGTGCTCATTGTTTTCGTAATAGCATACAAAAAATAGAGAAAATTTGCCTGTTTAACAAAGAAACAAGATCCGCCAAGCAGAATTTCATAAATTCCAACATCGAGATAAAATCAACAAAAGCTCGACTTAGATGAATGCGACACAAAACTATTCCACCACACCTTCATGTGGAATACACCAGGGGTTTGTAATCAGTCAAGGCCGCAGTATTGAATGGTTTTTTTGTCTGGTGGTTTTTCATTCAGGGTGTTACATATATTTTACATTATCATTTCTGCCTTTATAGAAATGTAAAAAAATGGCGTTTGTTTGAAAGGAAATTTTCTCCATACTGTTTTGCCGTAGAAAGAACATTTTCGCAATCAATGTATATTGAGAAAAGGAAATATTTAGAGTGAACAACTAGATATTCTTACCGAACACTTTTGACGTTTTCATAGCGTCACGTAAAAATAAAATATTTGGCGATTTTGGCAAAGTGGTAATTGTTCACAGTTCTCTTTTTCATTAGCTGATATGTCACTTATCACTGTTGTGATAAGTGATATTCGTTCTTTCATATAATCATGTTTCACTCAGAGCCGTTGGAAGTGTTGTTATTTCATTTCGAAAGCCAATTCATACCGCCCGCTGGAATTTGAATTCCGACACAATATAGAACCTCATCGTTTTTCCACTAAACCCTTCACATGTGGAATGCTATTCGTACTTAACTTGTAGGTGTTTATTCTTTGTATATTTTGAGTCATTCGTCATATTCTGGCCATATAAATTACAACTGAAATATATTTTGTCCACCAGTTGAAAGTAAAGCAGCCTTCATATTCGTCTATTTTTGAGAAAATGAGGACCTTTATGTAGGAATTGTGAACTAACCTGATACACAGTTCAACGGCTTTAATATCTCCTCCATGAACAGCTGAATGGAGAGGAACATTGCCTTCTGAATCATAAAATGAAATCATTTCTTCTCTGCTACATCCACGAGATTCTCCCCACTGAAGAAAAACTTCCAAAGTCCTGGAAGACGCATTTTTTGCTGCTTCGTGAATCGGGTAATAACCGTTGTTGCATGGTTTATTCGGAGAAGCCCCAAATTCAGATATCTGCAAGGGAAACAGTTGTTGAAGAGATTGTAATGAAGTGAAAAGTGATGATATTCGTCTCGCCAGAAGCTGAAAACTCCACGACAAATATCATCTTACTTTGATGATAAGGAATAAGTAGATACATCAGGCTTATCAACTCATTTGAGCCTGAGGGTGGGGAAATAAATTCCGCCCTTCTCGTTTGTCACAATGGATTCAACATTCTCCGTAGCATTGGGCAACACCGGTGTCTAGCCAATAATGTGAAAATACCATAGGTGGTAAGAAAGTAACACGACCCGACTGCGGTAGACCAAGGGGTTGAAACCACACGATGAATTCCCCAGTTTTCCAATTCAGATTACTCAACCAGCGGAAAGCGATAGTCAGGCGCTTTGATGAGTCGAGGTCTTCGGTGTTGTTGGAGAAGATGGCTCCTCCACCTTGTGTTGCCGTAGGAGCGAAGTGAACTCTGTGGCTTTTAAATGGGCTATTTGCTGGACGGATTCCAATTCAGTGGCAGAATTAGGATCACCTCATTCACTATCAAAAATTTAACCGGATTCATCAGCTGCTCTTGAAGCTGCCCTAAAGATGAGTGCTTCAGTTCCTGCTCTTTCAGGGTCGCAGATTATGCAGAGAAGGGGATTCGAACTTCCGATGACTATACAGGCTTCATCCAGTACCATTCTGTCTCGTTGATACTTCAAGCTCGAAAGTTGACGGATTACTGGATCACGGATAATAGTAATATTTTTTTCACCTAATGTTGCGATATACATTCAGAAGGGCGCGCCAGCATTATAAACCAATGACCGCTCCCCGCAACGTGAGGTGAGTGGCCATTGGGTCCAAGAATCATGTGCCCTTGGCGTGAGCCAAAAGTGACAGCTTTCTGCATTTGTCCGGCTAATATTTCTGTCTTAGTGCAGCAAGCCGGCATGATCTTGAGATTCGAGTAGAAAGAACATCATTCCACCAAATAATCCAATTATTAGAACCACCATCTTGACATTCCCATGTTTTATCCACGACAAATATCTTCTTGCTCTGATAGTCGGGTAGAACTACATCAGGCTTATAAGCTTGTATGAGTCTGAAGATGGTGAAAGAATAGTTCTGATGAATATCGATGGATAAAGGCTGAGACCGCAGGACATGCTGATAGCAAGTGCATTAGGGTCTCAGACGCCTTACATGAGGCTCTGCACCTTGTGTCAGGAACCGCCAAACTCATCACAAAACTGCGGTAGACTGTGGTGTTGAAGATACCATTTTTGCAGGCCATGACGAATCCTCTCATTTTTCGACTTCAGCCCACTCGACCTGAGGAAAGCTAATGTCAGGTGATTTGGTAAGTCTTCAATGCTGTTGAAGGAGACCTTATGCATTTGATTATCATTGTGTTGCCGCAGTAGTGAAGTGAAGTCTGCGATTTCCATATACGCTTCAAACTCAAAAGTCTACGGCCTCCATGTTGTCGGGGGAAGTACAACCGTGGAACTGTCGATTTGGTATGCAAACTCACGAGTTAATACAGCTTCTATTAAGTCCACTTCATTACTTCGATCGAGTAGATTGAGATTGGAACAGTTTCGATGGCCGGATTTGTCAGAGTTTGTGCTGATACTTGCCGTGCAGAGTTATTCACTGCTGTTACCCCGGATCTGTTAGAGTTTGTGCTGATACTTGCCGTGGAGAGTTCTTCACTGCTATTACCTCTCTTAAGTGGTATTGTTTCACCCCGAGGAGAGTATACGTATCTCCGGCATCCAGATGGTAGAGAATGCTTCTATCTACGAGCTGCATAGCCTGTTCGTAGTCCCCGCATTTTCCTCTTCTGAGATGGACCCTTGTACATTTGTCTATATACAATTTCATACCGATAGCATGCGTGTACTCTTCGATCTTCCTCGAGTACTGATGAATAATCATTTCTCTAGGGGCATAAAGTTCGGGTTTCACCAGCTTTCATCATTATTTCATTTAACCTAAGTTTGCGCTGGTAAGGCCCTGTCCTACGAAGCCTCGATATATTCAGGATGGTGTGACATCATTATCAACCAACGACCACTCCTCACACTGTTGGGTAAGTGATCATTATGTCCGTGAATCATGTGCCCTGGGGTAGGGCAGTGAGCCAAGAATGAAAGCTTTCTGCATTTGTTCGACTGATATTTCAGCCTTAGTGCGGCAATCCAGCATGAGGTTCGAGAGTAGAGAAGGCATCATTCCCCCAAGGACTACAATAATCAGAACATCCATCTTGAAAGAGTGGTCTGGATAGAGTATCCGGCGTAAGGAGAGCAAATCTTGATACTGTATCCGTTTTTCCTCCTCTTTTCGGACGATATTCTTCTCGCCAGGAGCTGAAAACTTCACAACAAATCTCGTCTTGCTCTGATGGTCGAGAGAACTACATCAGGTTTATCAGCTTGTATGAGCCACCGATGCCTCGTCAATACCGTGAGAGTGCCTTAGTGATATTATTATTATTTTCATAATGATTTTTTGTTGCTATACATAATGGAAGAAGGCTTAAAGCAGTGTATCTATAGAAAACCAGTAATGAACAAATTCATGTGAACACTACATTGAAAACAAATTATGTCTATTCTGTTTTTAAGTAAATTGGTGAATTGATGAATATGAAATTGATAATTCCTTCGTGGAAGTTGTTGTTGCCTAAACTTCGTCAGAAATAGGTTGCAGAAAAAGTTTTGACGCGGTTTCGTTTTGAAGTTTTCTTTGTTCAGTTCTAGTTCATAGCCACGCAAATGGTTGGCTGAATACAAAATGTATGTATGCTCCAGGTTGGAATAATTATATTTGAAAATTTGAAAACAAAATTTAACATCTCTTCAAAAAATGCAAATTTGCAATGCTGGAAGGTTGTCAGGTTTGATGCGAGTCGTTCAACATTTGACGGTAGGTTGCCAATATAGTCATATTTGTAGCTCGGCACTTAATTTTCAATCAAGTATTAGCATTGAACATTAACAGTTTCGGCGTATGAATGGTTAAAAATAGGTTTCATGAAGTTATATTGATGTCGAAAAGTTCTATTTCAGTTGTCACTCACACTTTGACAATATGAGAGAGGACCAGGTGAGGTCTGAAGTGACGGTAACATCCAATTGTTTTTGAGACAAGTAGGAAATCTCGGGTTTTTTGCCGTTCCGCTCTTTCAGTTATTGACCTATTGAATAACCAAAACCAAAAACTGACCTATTGAATGTGATGACTAGACAGTGGATTGTGATAAATTTCGGTGTCACAATGCAGAAATTTTTATGAATGCTTATGAGGTAGGAAATATTACTTGCATGAATCGTAAAAAGAAGAGGGTTGAGATTGGAGCCTTGGAAACATCACTTGTAACTGAAATATTGACGGAAAATGAATTACCCACTTCTACTGTGATCCAGAATTGAAGTTCTCTTTAATTGCCAAATTTTTCGAGTTGGTACCTCGGTCTCTTATTAGGGACCCTATCAAATGTTTCAGAAAGTCTAGGTATATGACTGGAAATTTCTGATCAAGAGGGAATGTCTAGACATTCACACACACACATCAAACCCGCTATTCAGGGTGTATTATTTGGTTGCGTTACAAACTTGTTCATTCATTAAACAACAATGTTTTTCATGTTTTTAAAAGTATCTATAGAAGTTTCACAGGTCCATGATTCGAATTTTCAGTACTTATTAAAAAAAATTCATCAACAATATGTTCACCAACTACCTTTGAGAATAATGAAATATATTATGAAAAACAATGATAGGATTCATTGAAATGAACATTGGAATGAGAATACAATAACTGAAAATGCTACAATAATTCTATTCAATGTGGATTCTAATTGAATTCAAATCAACGAACATGAGATTTCAGAGTGAAACTAATTCACCAACTACTGAAATATCAGCATCTCGAAATGTCATCAATAAGAAATAGGCAGTATTTTACAAATTGAGAAATTTCACTTTCAGCATACCTGGATAGATACCAGGACTTTGGAGATGATGACATTTTTCACTAATTAATATCTTTTTGTAAACTTCACTTGAATCAATTACCGTTCGAATATTATAAAACTGTAAAATGTCCTTTTGGGAACTCTCTATGAATTTGTAGAAAAGAAATATTCAACTTGACTACTTATGAATGTTACTGAAGTTTTTTTCCCAACACCAAACCCTCATTTCAACACTTTGGCACGTGTTTAGATCACCAAGTGATCATCTTCAAGAGGAAGATCAAAACTGTTTTGATCTTCCTCTTGAAGATGATCAAAACTGTTTTGATCTTCCTCTTGAAGATGATCACTTGGTGATCGAAACACGTGTCGAGGTGTTAAAATAATGATTTGGTGTTGAGAAAAAACTCCAGTAATATTCATTATTACACTAAAGGTTCCAAACAGTGCACCACAAGTACATAATTGACTACCTATAATAAAACTCACCAGAGTCCTTGCACATCTTTCATGATCGTGAATTGCAGCGATGTGAAGAGCCGTTCTTCCGTGTTCCCCACCTTGTTCGATGTCGATTTTTTCCTTATATCGTCCCATCACCTCTAAAACGGTCACTCTATCGAGCTCTGTCACCAGGTGGATTGGAGCCTGATTTTTTTCATTCAGAATATCCGTCCTAACACCTCTGTAAGAAAATTCAATCCAAACTTTAATCGCTAGAAATGAAACCTTTGAGATGGAGACAATCGAAAAAAATTATAAGTATATTAGGGTTCCCTAAACCTATCTCTTCTGATTTTTACACAAAAGGCGTTTTTATATTTTACTCACAAGTAACTTTTTCATCCTAAAAATGGAACACCCTGTATTATTATGAAAAGCAAAAAAGCATTCTTGAAGTCATTTTATCGAAAAATTAGGAATCTTAAATAGTTTATAATTCAATAAATGCTCAAAATGTTGTCCATTATTTTCGATGGATAGGCGAACTCTTTCTTGAAACGAGTGCTGAACTGTGAATAACGTATTATGCGTTAAATTTCACTAGTTCGGACTTCCATTGTCTACTATATAAAATGATTTGAAATCCCTGAAACAACCAAAAAAGAATAATTAAAAATGAATAGCTGAAAATAACAATTATATTAAGCAAAATAAACCTGAAATGAAACTACAAGTAAAAATATAACAATTGAATAAATAAAAACAAAATAAAAGTAAAGGAATGAAAAAAGAAAATAAAAAGTGTAGAGATTCCAAGTCACGTTAGTTCACGACGTTTCGATTGTTAGTATCTACAATCGTCTTCGGGTGATGACTGGACTGATTCCTCCGAGAGATGACTATTTATAGGTCGTTCAAATACTTTCACTTATCCCTGCTTTCCATTTTCCGCTTCACTGGTTCCGTGGGAGATGACCGTTTTGGCGGGAGTTGGCCATTTTTCGCTTGATGATGGGTTTCCATATGTTGCGTATTTCTACGCTGGCCTGGCTGAATACGTTGTTGGACAACATGTATGCGGCTTCCTTGAATTTTCTCCTAAACCAATGTTCCTCTCTGTGCAAGATCTCAGCTTGGAATCACTCGATGTTGTGTTGATGGGTCCAAACATGTTTCAGGGATTTCAAATCATTTTATATAGTAGACAATGGAAGTCCAAACTAGTGAAATTCATCATGAAACATTGTTAATCACCTTCAAACATATTATGCGATACTTCCATATCCTAAGGTGTCGTTGGCGGTGTATCGAGAACTATACTTTTGATATATCCCCATAAAAAATAGTCGGGATTTGTAAGGTCCGGAGACCTGGCTGGCCAGTTCTATGGATCTCCTCGTCCTATCCATCTATTTGAATATTGTCGATCTAACTCGTTTTTAACGCGTCTATCAGAGTGTGCAGGAGCACAATCTAGCTGTATCCACATCTGTTGACTAATATTGAGAGGGATACTTTCCAACAGCATAGGCAAATTATCCCTAATAAATCCGAGAAACATATCGCCGTTTAAATGACCATAAAAAAAGTAAGGACCTACTACTTGCGTTCCAATTATTCCACCTCACACATTAACAGATCATCTGTGCTGGTGATCAAGGGTCCTAAAAATATTAGGGTTTTCGTCACTGTAGTAGTGAAAGTTATGTCTGTCAACTAATCCGTTGTTATGAGAAGTTGAGTCATCGGAAAAAAGCACATAGGTAATCAAAAAAAAAAACTTCATCACCAAACTTTTCTAAAATCCATAAAAAAAAATTCAGTCGTCGATCATAATCTTCTTCAAAAAGCTGTTGATGTAGTTGAATGCGATACGGGTGGAATTTGTAATTTTTAATTATTCTTTGGATACTCTGTCTGCCTATTCCAGTTGACTAGTGTGAGGGTGTTCAATTAGAGATAACATCACTAAATATTCATTTTCCTCATTTCCAGTAACTGGTTTTTGCCGTTCTGGCATATTAAAAGATACACTGCCTGTTCTTTTCGGAAAAGCTGCAACAATTTTTCCTATGAACGCTTGTTAGGATGACTCCTGTTAGGATATACTCTTGACGCTAATAAACAGTTTTTTTCACCGATTATCAAAATCATATCAATTCGTTCTTCCTGGTGATAAGTTCTCATTTTACAATATTTCAAAATGACAATAATTTCAAACTGGTTTAAAACAATTATAATGGTTTGATTAACAAGTTGTGTCACTGTCAACTACTTTTTGTTTCATAATAATAATTAACGTCATCTAGGCCAGAGCCTACTTCTATTGGAAAAATAGTAGAATAGGTTTTATATGCAATCGTAAATGTATGTGTTCATTGATCCATATTGTAATTTTGGTATTTATTCCACTATGAAGTCTAATAAATTTGCTAAGAAACAAGCGAATTTAATATATTCTGCCTCAATAATTAAGACACATGCATCTACTAATTTTGAAGAATTCTTTTTAATATTTTAGAAATGGCAATGAATTTTAGTTTTTACATTTGTCTGCATATTACTTTAGATACACCTTATTTAAAAAAAATTGAACTTCTAGCGAATCTACGTATTCTACAATAAAAAGGTGTTTAAAACGCTTTTTAGTCTTTTCATTACAATTCAGCGTGTTTCATTTTGAAGATAAAAAAATTAATCATAAGTAAAATATAAAAATGCCTTTTGTGTAAAAATCAGAAGAGATAGGAATATGGAACCCTAATATAGTTTTAAAGGGAATCTACTCCTGTGACAAATTACGCCACTAAATACGGAGTGTTCCATTCAACTTTAAGAAGTTATTTAATTAAATCTGTGTCCAAATTTTGAGGGATTTTTTTCGCCACTCGGAATAATATTGCATTAAAAATTTCATGTGGTAGTCAACTTTAAACTTTGAGCTAAGCAGTACATTTAATCACGAGCAGCTCGTGATTGAATGTATCAGAAGACCTTCTGAAGCAGTGACCTGTTTATTCCTTTGGTTCCGGAAGGTTCAGAAACTCAGCAATGGTAGAGGGCGTTTTTCCAAACGTGTTCATATCGACTGGGTTGGCACTGCATTTATAATTTGAGTATTTAAAAAAAAACTTTGATTATTGATAACAGAAGGGCGTAATGCAACGTATTTATTAACATAGTCAATATTTTTTCTAACATCGCGAAAAGAACGACCTATTTTCGTTTTTGTATTTGGATTTTGAACAAACAATGATTTATCTATTAATTTAATGTCTTCTATTGATAAATGATACAGCTCTTCACGAGCTCCGTCACGCTGGAACCCTCTTTGAAAAAAATCTACTTTTTTTCAGCTCACTTTACCTACAAAGGATACTAATAAATGTGGTTCATTTTTTTGTAGTTTTATCGGTTACTGAGAAAGCACTTTTTACAATAAGGAGAAACTAAAACATTTAAAACTGATCAATTCGACTAAAAAACGATACTACCAGAGTAAAATAGAAAACACGGACAATATTCATAAAGCAGTGTG